ATTGATTGAAATAAATGCAAGAAGAATGCTTAAGTGTTTAAAAAATAATAATTTAGGAATTTAAATAATCTGAGTCTGCATAATACTTAAATGGCATGTAATAAATGTCTTCTTACAGTTTCGAGCGTTTTCATTAATCCTAGAAAATTACATTGATTTCAAAAGGCAAGAAATTATTTTCTTATGTGTAATTCCCAGGAGAAAACTAAACGATCGACGCCGCGGGACCTCTTAGAAATGTCCGAGAGAGGGGGAGATTCATTTAGGATCATAACTATACCAAATGCTAAAATTTGAGTCTTATCTTGGTCGCACATATATTGTGTTTTTGTTATAATGTCATCGTTTCTTGCAGTTTTTTTTTTAAGTTTTAATTAAAGAAGAAAGAATACTTACGTTCTCAGAAAATAATTCACACAATTATAAATACTTAAAATTAATCAAAAGTAATAAAATTTATTGTAAAACTAATCGCATTCGTTTTTCTTTTTTGATAATTTTTCTCTTTTTTTCTTCCAATTGGCCTAATATACGATTACTTTCTGATTATTTTTAATAGTTATCGATAATTATTAATTTAAAAGTAGAAATAATGACAATTATTTATTAAGCAGAATAAGAAAAAATTAATTAAATCGGTAGTCATTACAATTTATAATCATTTCTTAACAGCTCTGTCTCGAGAGTGAGGATAATCCAAAGAATTTTATCTGTGTGTCTTTACCGCTACAGGGTGCTCTGGTTCATCATAGATCCTTTAAAGTTTGCTGCATTTCGGTTTCACTCGGTTTCAGGTTCGAGTGAAGAGGAATTTTATACTCCCGGCGCATATAGAAAATATCGCTTTTTTCACCGTTCTCTAAACTAAAGCAGGTTTGATTTCCCGATTTCGAACATCTTCGATAACTCAATACAGCAGCATTTTTGGGGGACGGAATGATTCCCTCTCAGGTAGAAATACCTAGGCCCATATAGTGAACCCTCTCAATCCTTTTGTATTCGCAGATAACAATTTTTTAAGGCCACATTAAGTTTAAATATTTGTGCCTGAGTATTTTTATAATAAGCGGAAAAGGGGTTAAAATTCATATCGGAGCTAAATACGTAGTTTGGCGACATACAGTAAACAAATATTTTGGTCGAACCCTCTCTCTCTTGTCTCTTGTAAAGGGTTTTTGACTCTTTTTTTGTAATGTTTGAATACAATGGCATGTGCCAGGTCGGTGGAGGATTAAAATGTGCTAAAAACCCATCGTCAAAGCAGAAATTTGCTGGTGGAGTAAGCAGGTGTTCAAATATCCTGGTTATGAAGAATTTAAAGAAACAACAGTAAAACATACATGTGGAAATCATAAATATCTCAGATACTTATGATAGATATGATTGCGATACTGATGACCCAAACCGCGACCCATCCCTCTAAGCGTAACTAGTTGTTGTGTATTTCAACGGGACATAAGTATTTGTTTTTTATTATTATTTGTGTAAATATTTTGTCTGAGAATACCGTAAGTGCAATTTTCCGTTGAAAAATTTTCTAGAAAATTTTAACCCTCTAAAGGCCTCAGAAATGCCATTGTGGTCAAAATCTCCAAAAAAGAGTTCATAACGACCCGTTTGCGAGAGAGGTAATGGGTTAAAAAATTCTGCAAAATTATTCCTGCTGAAATTTTAATATAATATATATGTATATGTGTACACGTACCTATCTTGTTTCCTTTAGGCTGTTATACGACCCTGAATGTCCAATTACATATCATGGACTTATCCGGAACTACTAACTCTCTAGAGTACATTTTTTTAAGGAGCAAACAATTTTCGCTTTGAGAGATGCAATATTGCATAGATAATTTACACACTTGTACTGTGCCATAAACTGGGGCGAAATTATTTAGGCCACATGCTACTTACTTGGTACTTAAACACATTAAGACAAAATAAAAAATTTATAAAACAAATCTATCTGCTTATTCGACCTTTGTGAACAGTAACTTTTAATGATATCATTATACTAGATTACTGCTTTATGAAAATATGTATGTAGGTATGTATGTATGTGTTTACGGAAATTGCTAATCACTGTTTTGCCTTTGATTTGACAACTTTTTGTTTTTTTGTTTTCTTGAAGAGGTTGTAGAAGACGCAAGGTCAAATTGAAAATTTAATTGACAATCACAAATTTAAAAGCCCCAAGCCGCTACTTCATTTATGCTCCAAATTGAGTATAAAGTTGATGAACAACAAGTTGCATTTCTTGTGAATAGAAAACTATGACATTGGGGCATTTAATAGCGTAATTACATAAAACAAAACAACAACATAATAACCATTAAAATCTTACTCCAAGAAATTTTATTTTATGCCGAAATATCTACTGGTGCATTTATATCAATGCTAGATATCTAATTTATAATTTTATAAAACTAGAAAATATATATATATTTTTTTTTAATTATCATACGAAGTGGAATGATGTTAATATTTGCAGCGATTTTTTTTTTTTTTTATGGGAGTTGTAAACATCTAAGAGATACGAAAACGAATAATTCTGTGGTCATAAGCAAGGTTGCTGCTATGGTTATGGCTTTCATATGACACCAGAAATTGGGCATGTAAGGAAGTTTTTTACGATTCTTATTGACGGCCGGAACCAGATTTAGGTCAAACGTTAGTATCTATGTTAAGGAACACTTTGCTTCATATCAGCAGCCATTTGTACATTGTGCAAAGGTCCGGAAATCAGATGTTGTCATTGTTCAAGCCCCTGCACCATAAACCATCACGGGCGTGATGAAAGACATATAGCGCGCGGTTCTCAAATATCTACTCAGTCCAAAGTAGCAATAGTTGGAAAGCATGAGTCGAGCGCGATATTTGTGCCTCCAGCACTCTCTCTCTCTACTTTTTCGAAATTATAATTTTCAACAGTGACAGTGAGTGCCAAGCCGCGCATGCGCCAACTAATTGTTTTATGACTGAAAATACTTCGTCTTATTGTCAATGTCGTCGGCAAATGCCAGCAATTGTGCGCTCTGGAAAAAACAAAATCCCTGAGCAATTCAGTTCTTCGGCGCTTATAATATATCTTCTCCAACATAAAATTGAATAAATAAACGACAAGAGGTTGCCCTATTTAAAACTTCATTTGCCATCAAATGTCTCTGCCTATGTTTCTAGGGCGTCTAGATGCATTTCTGCATCAAAAAGGAAATTTTGAAAAAAAACCGCTTACGTCTTTTTGGCGGTTAGGGCTCTCTATGTATGCATATACTATGTTTAATGTTTGTACGTATGTACAAATCTCACACCGCCTTCAAAAGAGTCACAACTCAAAATACATAATACGTTTGACAGAAAATGCAAAAAATTATTTCTTAGCACATGATAATCATATGGGCAAGGGCGACTTTACCTTAGGCTTTTTTTTTAAACAAATTATAACCAGCTTTTGCTGAAAGATCTATTAAAACTCTGCGTACATTTTTAGCGCATAATCTCAAAAATGCCAAATTTTGAGTTGTGACTCTTTCGAAGACGATGTGCGATACGTATGGTCAACGTTATACATATTTCAAATTTGTGAAGCACAGTAAATACATAATTCGTTTTGGCTATCATATTTTCCAAACAAGTGTGATGAGTATTATTAACGGAAGACAGACGTCATTAAAACAATATTATAAACTAGCTTGGGAAAAATATATGCCATACATTTATACGTATGAGGCATTCTTTTTCATATCGGACACCAAATTTGGTGTCACACTTTCGATTCGCTTCAAAATTTTTTTTATGGATTCTATACATGAAATAAGCTAACACATATTCGAGGAAATTATTTCTTTTTTTCTCCGGATATATCAAAGTTTGGAGTTTTTCGTGATTCTGACTAATTAAAATTTTTTGTTTTCGAAAAAAAAATACAAAATATTGTTGATTCTCATAAAATAAATCATCTCATCATAAACCAAAAAAATATTTATAAAAAAGTTCTTGAAAAACGCCAATTTTTGTATCCATGTTTTTATAGACAATGAAAAAGAATGTCTCATATATATGCGCATTTTTATGTGAGTACAAGTAATGCCAAGCTGCTTAATGCATTTTCAGTTAAAACCTCGTCGTTTTTAAAAAGAAGAAGGTAGCCAAGCATTTTGTAACACTCACCGCATACATACTTCGCGGCAAACACACAATTTTTAAAAGAAGTTCACTTTTGCGACTTTTAAAATTACACATCGCTAACACTTGCGCGAAATTTCATAACTTTGGCCATTTTCTTTTATCATTGACTAAAAATCTGCGCTGAATGCATAACAGATCGGCCAGCTTTACACATTAACACACAAACATACTTAATTTTTTATGTGTGCTGACGTTAAAATCCATTTACATAATGGACTGGGCGAGTGCGAAAAATTGCGAAAATCTGAAAATTCAAAGCAGCATTACACTCACTCGCTACTAAGTTGACTGAGACGCTGACGGCGTGCACTGACCATGGCCATGGCGTGTGGCAAGCGGTTAGTGGCACTTTGACTTAAGTCAAAAGTAGTACATATAGCATGCGAACGACCGACCGACCGGCTTACAGCGGACGTCGTCCCATGCATCGAAGACGACGTCGTTAACCTGCTGTTAAATAGTTACAGCAGCAACTGACTTTTGGCTTGGTTTTTATGTACATTTTCCTTTATTTGCCACCAATGCTGGCATTTCGGTTTTTAATGTGCGAATATTTATAGCCTACATATGTGTGGGTGGATGTGTGTGCTGTGTTTTTAATGGAGACGACTCTAACGAATGATGTACGTACACCGGCAATTTTTCGGTCAAGTTACACATTTCCTTAGTCAAACTTATGTATGCGTATGTATGTATGTATGTATTTGTCGGTTTGTAAATTCGACGGCGTACGTTACATCAGCAACCTAAAATACCTGTGTGTAGCTATAAATTCGTCTAACCAACAAGCTGACCAGTTTAGTTGACCGGCCACCCTTCTAACGCCCACACCTCGGGAAATACAAAAATAAAAAAGCACACAAGCACACACTCGAAAGTTCACAAACTTTTTAACTGTTATAGAAAATGTCTCTTGTTGCATGCTGTGTTCTACTGAGTAAATTGGCTTTAATTTTGTGTATCACTGCCGTTCAAGCCGTCACCAATGTGGATGCGTCATCGCGCGATCTCGATCAGTTCCGTTATTGCATGCGTAAGTCGCAGCATCCGAGTTTGCGCGAGTGTATCGGACGCACAGCTATCAATTTTTTGCATCGTTTCGATGAACATGATAACTTTACGCTCTTCAATGACTTGGTTTCTACAAAGGATGACAAAATTTCAGGACGTTCGTTGGTTAATTTTTTGGATACAGATCCAGTGGACTTTAGGTAAAGCGAGGGAAAATTAAGCTATTAACAAGCTTTTAAAGTGTGATGTGAAGATAAAAAAGTGTCTAAGAAAGGAATTCGTTGTGGAAAATTTGTAAAAATACACTTAGCAACTTTGCATTATTATTTATTTATTCATGCAATCATAAAGTTATTTAAACAAATTTACTACCGAAAAAGCTTACTTAGTCATTAGCGAAAAGCCGTAGTTAAAACAAAAAAAGAATCTGAAGACCAAATCGGCCCATGAAATTGGGTTTGAAAATTTAAAAATTGTATATGTGTATTGCATAGCTAGAAAGATAGGGTTAATATAAAAGAAATGCCAGAATGAGGGCCTTTTTAAATTAAATGGTATTATTATTTTTTGTTAGGATGAGTTTGATAGAGCATCCGTCTTCAATTTGAGTAATTTTTTTAAGAGTTGGAACGGAGAAAAATGTTGGACTTACTCATAAGAAGTCTTTAAATTTCTAAAGGCATTACAGACGGCTGCTGCTTGCTTTTGCAGGGTTGGAATCAAAAGACCCAGTTACCGGAAATCGCGGGGTCACCTTTCTTGTGTTTGTGCGCATATGGCAATGAGAAGGCCACATTTTTTGGTAGAAAAGAAAACGCCATTAAAATCCAGCTGGCGGATATGAGTTTCTCCGACTATATTCTATGTACATTACAGTCGATGTATGTTCCGTCACACTTCAATAGTAAGCCGACAGTACCTGCATCTTTGTAGTTTTTCAGCCACGAATTTGCTATTCATACCTCGTAATAGTCGAATGGTGTTACATCGACTTCGCCGTCTTCGACTGAAGCCCGAGTTCATCTCTCAGCTGGTTTCACCGTTGTTACCACTTCAAAGGGTGGAGCAATGTTCCCTTGTGCAACTAAAGCACGTTTTAGACATCGGTCACTAGGTCGCCGTGTTTGCCCTTACATAAATTCGCCCTGGCCTTGAAAACTTCCGTAAGTAGTCTAACTTTATGATACCAATTTCTGGCATTTTTCCTGTTGGCAGCATTTCAAGCTCTTCGCTCTTACGTTTTTGGGCCTGTGCCTTCTTTTTGCTGCAAATACATCTTACTTCCCCTTTCAGCTCCCTAAATCGATACCAACCAGTTGACGTGCGCCTAACCGTTGTGGAGGCTGAATTTTCAGACACTGAGATGTATTTTCCCTTCCTTGCACACCCTGGCATTGAAATCATCAACCACGACTTTGATATTATGACGGGTGTAGTGTTCATATGTGCACTCCAAGCGCTCATAAAAGAGGTCCTTGAACGTCCCGTCCTTCTCTGTTATCGTGGCGTGGGTCCAAATGAGCCAGGAGATTGAAGAATCTGGCTTTAGTGCGGGTTGTAGTGAAACGCTTGTCCACTGGGTTGAGCCACAGTACTCGCCGACGGCCTCTCTATCTAACTCTCTCTACGTAGAGTGGTCCAAAATAAAAAATTTAAATGTTAAGCTCTCAATCCCAGGATTTTTCTAAATGGATATTTGGTAAGGGTATCTTCCGTTACATAGATATCTATTTTGTCTCATAACTAATATATGTTCATATCGATAACAAAAACGATTAATATCGATAACAAAATCGATAAATATCGATAACAAAACCAATTAATATCGATAAAAAAATCGATAAATGTCGATAACAAAATAAATAAATATCTATAACAAAATCGATAAAAAATATCGCTAACAAAATAATTAAAAATATCGATTACAAAATCGATAAAAATATCGATTATTATATCGATAAGTTCCGAAATCCAAAAAAATCCATAAAAATATCGATAACAAAAACGAACAAAAATATCGATTATTTTATCGATAAATTTTGAGAATCCCGAAAGTCTTTTTTCTTACTGTCTTCCCTAAATTTGAGCGCTAAGCGTTGCGTTTCCTATGCCAAAGAGTGAAGCATTATTTTTGACGCTTTCACATTTCCTCGTTTATCTTCTTGTTTCCTCTTTCTTTTTACAGCTTAAAACAAAATAAAATTCTTTTGATCTATTTAAGGAAAACTTAAATGAACATTACTTACCTTAGACTATTTAAAAATTATCCTTTATATTATTGCAGAGGAATTTTGGAAAACGCAGGTGCCGTTATGGGACAGCGGGGACTTGAGTGGCATATGGATGCCATATATCCAGGGCTGATGTTTAAGATCGGCCCAACTTCCGATGCAAACAGTGTGGCGCAATTCATGCTTGATCCGGCCACTGTTGAACGAAATTTTGGCTATGAAGAGCCATCAACGGGTAAATTAAGCTTTGAAACTTTTCTTTTGAGTGCGCTTTTAGCTAATAACAAAACTTTTTCTTTATATGTATGCATATTCAACAAAACCACACACGCACACACACACATACATACGTGCAACGCATCGAACAATCCAACCACACTTCGAATTTGAACCGCAAACAAGAAAGCTCGCCTCTTAACCAAACAATACTTGCTACCATTTCTGCTGGGCTTTAAGTTTAATTTGGTCGCACTGGTGCCGCTTGCTTTCGCCGGTATTTTCTTGCTGCTGAAGAAATCGCTTTTCTTAGCCAAATTCGCGATCTACCTGAGTAGCTTTTTAGGCGTTGGTGGTGCTTTAACTGCGCTCAGTGCCGGAGCTGGTGCTGGTGCTGGTGGATTAGGCGGCTTTGGTTTGTTTGGCGGCGGTGGTGGCGGACTTCCATTGGGACCCTATGCTCATCATGCACACTCATTTGGTGCTGGTGAAGGTTATCTGCCAGGTAAACAAGGTACATTTAATCAGTATGAAGGCGATGAACTGCATCATCATTCCCCTTACAAACGCAACGATCGAAAAATACACTTCGAGAAGCCTCGTGAATATGCAACGCGTGCCACAGTGGTCGCAACAACGCCAGCGCCTGATCGATTTTACGAGTATGAGAAACAAGTGGCTATGATAAATAATAGAAGCGCAAAGCCCAGATCGGCAAATGGCAAGCTAGGGCCAAGCGCTTATGATGACGATGAGGGGGAGGTGAGGAATGAGGACTTTAAGACTGCAAATCAGGAGTACAACGGTTGGAAAGTCGTCGAATTGAGAGCGTGAGAAGACGAAGTGTTGTTCTTATATTTGTATCTTAGTTCTCAGTTTTTATGTAGTATATGTATGTGTACCTAATTAGTAAGTATTTACTTAGTAATATACGAAACTCGTTTAATTGTGTATTTATTTATATTTATTGAGCAATAAAATGTTTTAAGACCTAGCTGCACTACGAGTATTTCAAAAATTATTAACACGAATTAACAGAATTGAATTGTTTAAAATAAAAAGAAAATATGGCCGAAATAAATTTGATAACTACGTGCGACCGTACATTTTACCCGCAAAAAATGAATTTATTCGCAAAACTGTGGGTAAATTATTAGAGAGATATATTTTATTAAAGCGCATTCGTAGTTGTAAACCAAAAAACTTTTTTCTTTTAAATTCTACAGAATTTTCTCTTAATTTTGTACCCATATTGATATTCAACATTTCACAAATTTTTTTAAATAAGTTGTTGAATTAATCATATCCTTAAAGCTTCAAAGTACTTTAAAAAAAAATCCTAGCTTCTTTCTTTCTTTCTTTCTTTTTTTGGCGCTGTAACCGCCTAAGCGATTTTGGCCGAGTTC